GATTACAACTCGCGACATAAGAGGTCTCATGTTTCAAAACAAGAGCCGAAAACTTCAATATAATTATTTGAATTAAATTGAGTTAAAGTAAGCTCTGTTCCATCTTCAAGCGAAATTTTTTTTGGAATAACTTATTTCAGAAATTTACGGGTTAAAACACGTGTATGACGTGTATGTGTGTGTGAGGAAGTGTAAATATAGCTGACGATGCAGACGCCCGATCTGAAAGGTGTCAAGAACACCCCAACATGCCCCCTTTTGAAAAAAAACTTCGCTACATACAGTCTGGATATTGAAATAGGATTACAACTGCGCATGTATAGATGAAGGCCTGGATATATATCTGTTCTTAATCTCAAATTGTTTATATGGGTATGTCTGTGTGAACTATAATGCGTACACCTGTAGGTATGTGTATCTGTGTGTGTAAGAGTGTCACCCCAGAACGGACACAGAGAAGAATCTCCCCCTCCCACCACAAAACATACTCAAACACAAACAAGCATAAACAGATTCAATTTTTTAAAAAATAAACCAGTTTGTCTGATGATCGCAAAAGCGTAAAACCTAGCGTCACAACTCATATCCACGCTACTGAATATATATATATATATATATATATATATATATATATATATATATATATATATATATATGTATATATATATATATATATATATTTACATTAGTCGGACTATTGTCCTCATCTTTGTCGCCATATTTGTCACAACGTTTCGGCCGTTGTACGCTCCGGCCTTCTTCAGGTGGTTGGAATTTCGAACTGAACCCTTTATTTCGATCGCTGGGGTGGACTGTTCTAATTCCACGTGCCATGTTTGATGGATGTCAGTTATCAGTTATCTCCTGCTAATTTTCCTCCGAAAGTTCTCCACTGCCTTAACCAGGAATTGAACACACCTTCTTTGGGTCTGTCACTGGATCTAACCAACGGCCGAAACGTTGTGACAAATATGGCGACAAAGATGAGGACAATAGTCCGACTAATGTAAATACTGTACATAATACCTACACATATATATATATATACACATATATATATATACATATATATATATATATATATATATATATATATATATATATATATATATATATATATATATATATATATATATATATATATATATATATATATATATATATATATATATATATATATATATATATATATATATATATATATATATATATATATATATATATATATATATATATATATATATATATATATACTTTGTATGATGCATAGGGTTATATAGGAGGTGTATTTAAACAAAAAGTATTCATCCAAAGAAGTTTGAGTGAAAAGAACCGACGTTTAATTTTTTATTAATTTTTTTCAAATTTCGCATAAATTGCTGAGTATTGTGATACCCTTTCCTATGCTGAATGCTATTTCATTTAATGTGAGCTTATTATTATGTATAATAACAGCTCCTAGAGTTTTGTATCTTTCCTTACGCTGGGTATTGTAGAGCATTTTCGTGTCATCTACTAATATTCGTCTTATGCGGATAGTTGTACTTTGGTCGTTCATGATATGCTGGTCGATGTGTGCTCGGATTGCACTTTGTTTCGATAAGTGACAAGTCAATGTGCGAGAGAGTGTGATGCATGTGTACCAAAGAAGATGTTGATATACAAATAAAATTTCATGATTTGCAATTATTTGTTGCTTTTTTAAATACATAAGCATTTATTTTTGTAATAAGCTCAATTCAGAGTACAATATATAGAATAAGTATTAGTCTATGCAAAGTCTTTGAATTTTAGACCAAGTGAAGCGGGATATGCCTCCTAGTATATATATATATATATATATATATATATATATATATATATATATATATATATATATATATATATATATATGAGAGAGATAACAGATGGAGTAAAAAATCACACTTCATAGTATTTACTTTAAAAAAAAATGCTCAATACAAAGTAGAGTAAAATATTATTATAATATTTTTATTATAATAAATAATAAGTTACAATAAAACATTTTACATCGCTACACAAAAACTTTCATGTTTCAGTACTATTTCCTAGGGCGATGGTAGTTAGCTTGTGGTAAAAATGATTTATTAGGGGAATTTAAAAACAAATCGTTACCTCTTTTAGGAAGTTAAAGTGTGTAAGGTGTGTAAAGCCATCACTTGATAAGACACCAGACGTGTTGAAATAAAATGGCCATTTTTGTAGTCATTTTATAATATATTTATGTTATAATTTTCGAATTAATTATATTTACTCTACTCTGTATTGAGCACTCTTTTAAGAATAGTATTTTTGGTCAATTTATTCCGCATACACCAATCCTATACTTGGATATATATATATATATATATATATATATATATATATATATATATATATATATATTATTATTTCGTTGAATAAGAGAGACAAATTAGTTTAGTTTTTATTATGTTTTTTTGTATACGGACATATGCGTTCTTTTCTTGATGTAATGAATTCTAGCCTAACTTTCGGCTAAACAGTTAAGCATATTTGGAAATTAAATTTTGTTATACTGCTATAAAAATAGTGCTTCCGTGTTATTGTAGATGGTATAAAAAGTTGCTGAAAGTACAGCACTTACAGAAAATTTATAAATGTATTATAAAAAAAAAACTCATTGAAACTGGCTAACATTTTCACCGAAAGCGCTCGTAACCAACAAAATTTTGGGCAATTTTACAGTCATTAAGTTCAAAAAAAACCAATGTATACACACACACACACACACACACACACACACACACACACATATATATATATATATATATATATATATATATATATATATATATATATATATTTATATATTTGGTGGAACAGCAAAATTGTCCAAATCGTGTAACAGCAAATTTATCCAATTGTTAGATTAAACTCTGAACCATTGTATCTTAAAAAAATGATTAAATATATCTTATATATATAATTATCCAAGGTTTTTATAGCACTACTGTACTCTACTTTAAGCAATAAGAATGTATAATTACTCTCCGGGCTTAACAGAAAAATCGGGATGAAATCGATCATAAACGAAAATGACATTTTCATTATTAATTAATCATAGCTAAGGATTGGAAGTTCATGAAGTATTGAAATAAAGTTCAAATATATATATATAATATTCCAGAATCATTTTCCAATTTATTCAAGATTATCTTCACCCTCTTTAACGTTGTAACTTTCTGTCCTGGAGTAAAAAGTTGCGATTACATTCCCAAGTCTTTTTTTACTGCGCTTTAGGCAGCTGAAACTCCTCTCTCACGAGCCAAACATCTTATGAATTGAGTTGAATCTTTTCTAATTGACATCTTTAGCTCTAAGTTGAAATGATGATCCCTCTTCTTGTTGTGACCTCCTGATTCACTTTTCCTCTCAACTGTTCCCTCTTTTTTAAACTTATTCACCGTTCTTTTGATGGTTCTTGAATGAACTTTGAAGATGGAAGCCAGAATATGAATGTTGGTCCCACTACTGAAGGTCTTAATGATCTTTTTCCTCTCACCATTGCTCAGTTGGGAAGACAGTCGGTCTAACACAAAACGATTTTAACCTGGTCCATAACTTAAAGGATTTTTCAGTGATCCTTACGAAAAAGAGTGTCAAGATGGCTAAACGTCTTATCTGAAAACCCGGAAAAAAGAAACTCAATTAGTTTAGTGGTTTGTTAGATATTAAAAATTTTGTGGGGTGGACACTTATGTTATTACACCATTTGGACAATTTTGCTGTTACATCCGGTTATATATATATATATATATACATGGATGCATGTTTCATTAAATAATATAGACAAGTTTTGTCTATTTATTTTAAGTAAGTTCCTTTCATATTGTCTGATAAGCTTAATAACTTTATCATTGACGGACGAAAGGAAATCACCATATTGACACATATTTTAATCCTATCTAAGCTTTCGGCTTACATAAGCCATTATCAAAATGACAATTACATTTCAATATATCAAACAATACACGGACGAAAAATAATGTTTTCGTTGCATGAAAAATTTCAAAACAACGACAGCAGTAAATAAAGCAGTGTGAAAATGTATTTATTTCTCTATTGGATCATGTTATTTAAATCATGGCAATTATGTGTGAAAAATAATATCGCCTAAATGTCCGCCAAATCTGAAAGAAAAAGTAAGAAATCATTAGACGCTTAAACTTAAGTCACATTAAATTCGGTCCAAGTTACTGGAACACTCTTTATATTGCTATCAATTTATAATGAATTAATGGGTTTGAATTTTTAATTTGGCATAATTTTATTACTTCAAACATGATTTTTAGTGGATACCTGTATTTGAATAGACATTCCGTTTATTTAAACAATGTTTATTTCGTCTAGCGTCCTGCGTGCTTGAGAAAATTTAATAAAGGCAAGGAGGAACGTAGGGTCGAATCCTGCCGGAGGGCATTATTTCTTTATTAATTTTTCTTGAGTTTGAAGACCGCAAGACGAAATAAACATCGTTTAAATAAACGGAACGTCTATTCAAATACAGGTATCCACTAAAAAAAATGTTTGAAGTAATAAAACTGTTGCTATCATTAAAAAATGGAAAGATAAATAAAACTTTGATCTCTATTTACTTTATTCGGGCTATTGTCCTCATCTGTGTCGCCATATTTATTACAACGCTCCGGTCTTCTTCAGGTTGTTGGAATGTCGGACTGAACCTTTATTTCGCTCACTAGGGTAGACTGTTCTAGTTCCACGTGCCATGTTTAATTGATGTCATTTATCAGTTATCTCCTGTTAATTCCCCGATCCAAGTTTTCCACTGCCTTAACCGGGTATTGAACTCACACTCTTTGGGTTCTGTCACTGGATCTAACCAACGCCTTTATCCACTGGGCCATGTGTTATTGATCCTGAACTTTGATCTCACTATTATATTTTCTTCTTCTGATTGTGGTATAGCAGTATCAAGACATCTTCTAGCAATGCCAGGCTTACAGCCATATCATGTTGAAACACCGGTTCCCGTACGATCACCAGACTTAAGCAACGTCGGGCCTGGTCATTATCTAGATGGGTGACCGCTTAGGAATACCAAGTGCTCTAGGGCTGGATGTGTACGTGATGTAATGGTTAATGGCACGGAATTGTTTATTGGTGAGTTGAGTTCCAATTCCAGTTTCTTTTCGTTTTATTCACTAAACCAACAAATACTCTATATGAATCTATTTCTTCTGCCCCTGACTATGGGTTAATTAGTAAGACTTGTATAGCTAAATCATTATTATCTCAAAAAAGAAAAATAATCAATTAAAAATATTTTTGGTATTAAATAACCTGCAAAGACGTAAAAAACGAATCAATAAAAAAACAAAAAAACAAAAACAACATCGACAAGGTTCAAAGTTCGAATACTGGTGTAGGCTTTTTACAGATTCAAAGATTGGCGCAACATAATATTTCTATGCTTATTTTACATTAATTTGTCCTGTGCCGTACTTGTTGAATCTGAAGGAATATGAATGTTTTCCACTTGGTAATAGTTTGAAAACTTTGTGAATACTAATATAATATTTGCAGCGAGAAGAAATGCTTAAGAGTAGGTGAACAAAAGGTTTGTGTTACATCAGATCGGGAGACGTTCTACTAATGGATACCGATCGGTTGCACTCTGATAGACAGGTATGCAAAAGGAATCCGTCTTGAAAGCGTGCGAGGTTCCGTCCAACGGTGCCAGTTCCCATCATTGACTTCACTGATCAGATGACATCTTATGATATGTATTACGCATTCACGAACAGCCATCTTGAAAAAGGAAAAGCGGTCAAAGTGGGCCTTGGTCACCAATCTAGCTGTGGTCTCAAAACTTACTATATTTGAGCGAATAGCAAAAAGTTAGATTATTTATAAGAAACGCCAAAAAATGTGCTAATGTTGAAAATAATCCGATTTAGGACATTTAAAAAACATCAACCCATGTAAGGTGATGATGCCACCAAGACGCAAAAAGTTATTGGGAATGGAAGAGAATGAGAAGACATAAGAAGGAACTGGAATTCCAGTCCTAATCAGGAAAAAAAAAGATAAACCTTTACACCTGTTTAAAAGAACGGGGCAATAAAAATATTATCTCCAATCAATGTTCAACGCTTCCCACCACACAGAATATAGGATTTAGTGAAACGACTGCTAGACTTTAAAAAACACATAACTGCTGAATGGTAGCATCTTCTACAGAATGTAGTTACCGTAGACGCTCCATAGATATATGCTTGGCAAAAAAACTATATCTAAACTCTAGGTACCGCAAATGGAACGAACATGGCACCGATATATGCTACACTAACATTAGCTTACCTAGAGGAAAACCTGTATGAAATGATAGAACAGATATATGGGGAAATATAACAACCCACTTCATTAAATCTTGGAATCGATACTTAGATGATTGCTTCATTTTCTGGAAATCCTCATTAAACAAGCCTATTTTAACCAATTCCACACTCTACTTCAAAACATACACCCGAAGATCAAATTCACCCAAGAATATAATTTTAACGGATTTTCATTCCTAGATATACTCATTAGAAATAGAAACAACCGCATAATCACAGATATCTACCACAACCTACAGACACCGAACAATATCTTCATTTCAAGAGCCATCACCCAAAAAGCTGTCTGAAATTCATCACCTATTCCCGAGCACGTAGAGTTTGCACTAGAGTGGCCGACAAACACCTCCAAAAAACCCGCATAGAAGAACTATATAAAACTCAAAAAACGAGGCTACACCACAACAGTAATAAACAAAGGATTTGAACGAGCAGAAAAATACCTCTAGACCAACTATGAAATTCAAACGTAACGTCGAACAAACTCTAGCATATATCTCAACATACAAGAACAATCCAGAACTATTTACAGAAATTACAAGAAATCTAGACCTATTTAACAAGAATGATAAAATATACTAAAAACAACGAAAATAATTAAAAGCAAACGCCAATCAAAAAATCTAAAACACATATTAAACTCATCTAAATTTAACCAACAAAAAATACAAAGGGTCACAAAATGCAACAAGAAAAGATGTGGGGTTTGTGATATCATTATAAGAAGGAAACTACTATAGTTTTGAAAACCCCACAAGATTCACAATAAGGAAAAACTTAAATTGCAACTCCCAAAATATGATTTATGCACTCAAGTGCACAAAATGCAATAAGTCCTATATAGATACCAGCCAAGTACTAAACAACAGAGTTTCTCTTCACAAAATCAATATCAAATTGCCAGACAACAGAAAACTCTTTGTATCATAACACATATATAAATGTAATCAAGGTAAATTTAAAATTATGCTAATATATCAAACAGAAAATAATTTTTACCTACAAATACAAGTAAAAAGTTCATAGAGAAATTTAAATCAGCATTAAACAGAAAGATATGTTTAGTGGTACAAAACTTTATCACTGCCATAAACAGACAAAAATAATCTTATTATTACCACTCATGATGATAATAAAAAGTAAAAATGACAAACAGGCAAGCTAACCAGTTTCGAACCTCGCTCAACAGAGCTAAATCCACGTTAATAAAGTAAATTATTTAAAGAAAGAAAATGGACAAAGTGTATTGGGGGAGAAAAAAATAGATGGTAATTAGTTGGTGGCCTAATACAAATTCCCTCTGTTTACATAGAGAAGCCTTTAATGATAGAATATAGATGGCCTCCAACACTTTTAGGTGGTAATTAGAGGGGCAGGTTCGAAACCGGTTACCTAGACCGTTTGTCACTTTTACTTTTTATTATCACCATGATTGGTAATAATAAAATTAAATTTTGTCTGATATATATATATATATATATATATATATATATATATATATATATATATATATATATATATATATAAATTAACTGATTTAAAAATATGGTTCCTTCGCTACACAGTAATAACCATGTTTCAAAACTGAAGCTAAAAACTTCAAATTTAATTATATAATTAAATTAAAAGCATTAGTTCTGTTTCATTTTCAAGCGAATTTTTTAACTTATTTTTAAATTTACTGAGTGTTTAACGCACATATAAATTCATAATTTCCTGTTTCCAAGGATACAGAGAAATCCAATCATTCAGACAGGAGATGTAGCGTGTTCATTTTTATTAACTATTGTTGCACCAATTATGAGTTAAGTTCGAAAAAGAGGTTAAGTTTAAGGAGGGTAGGGGTGTATTTTTCAACGAATTCTGACATTCGTTAAACGCATGTCGTCTGTTTTTTTTTTAATTATTAACGATAAAAAGTTTTTCGGCATTTTTTCCGTATTTGTATACTTAAAGATTCTTTCTAGAAGGTGTGTTTGGGTTAGAATACGTTTTATTTCACTACAATTTTAAAATATTTTTACTCTTAATTACGAATAGACTATATTTCTTTTTAAATCAAGTAAATGTAATAGAATTACTTAAATTATTTTAAAATTATTTTTTCATATCAAATATAATTATGTATATTACCAGCGCCCATTTTTTATTTTATTTTTAAATATTATTTAAGGAACATTTTTGACAAAGTCGGCAAAGAATAGCTATTTCATTTCTTTGATTCAGTAAATTTTTAATTTTATAAACTTAGTAATATATAGTTTCTTATGTATGCCCAAAGGACATGGTTCATTTAATGACCTACATATTCTAGCTTTTCTTATTAATTTCCATTTTACTGTAGGTGTTTTATTGCTTTCTTTTAAGTGCCAGACATATTTCTGGCACTTAAAAGAAACCAATAAAAAACTTCGCTCGCTCGTATACCTACGAATATTTTTTCCATTCGGTTATATATATATATATATATATATATATATATATATATATATATATATATATTTTATGTGTATATGTGGAGGTGCAGCAACCTTTCTTTTAAAACATCTTTCGTTAAATATGCTAGACAAGGAAAATTTTATTAGTTTTTGATTTAGTTTTTCCAGTGTTCTTACGTTTTGCCGTTTGGTAGGAATAAAGGAGTACAAAAGGTTTTCCCTAATGTTCATTGTCCAAAGCTTTTTCGGTCAATTCTTCATCCATTTTCAAGAAAGCTTGTTTTAGGTGTTGTCAGTTTCTATACACGCTTTGATTAAAATGTATTTTATTTCTGTGTTGTGTTGAATACCAGTAGAAGCGTTTATAGATATATATGTACATACTTGGAAAAAGTTTAATAAAGTGGAAAAAAATGACGTGTTTCAGCTTACGTTAATGAGATTACATATGAGCATGAAGGAGAGGGGATGTTGAAGGACTAAATACGTCAAACGAAATTTCTTTCCACTTTGTCATAGATTTATGATAAAATTGTTCTGATATCTAAAAAAATATATTGTTTCCCATATATATATATATATATATATATAACGTTCGCTTTCTGATCATGAGATCCGGGTTCAAATCTCACCACGGTTGATTTGCCGCATCGGTCTGGAAGAGGCAATCCCAGCGTGCGGCATCTATGGAAAGTAACTTAAAACTATATCACAGGTTGCCCCAAACCTTGTGAGTGACATTGGTAGACGGAACACTTGGGGTACCGTCGATAGCTGTGCTAGCACGAAGTCACAAGTCATCGTGCCCGAGGGTTTGAGTGTGATGACCTTGTTCAGATTGTTGATCACGCTATATAACACGCTATCTCGCAGAAACTGTAACTAAGGTCTGCTCAGCATAGTTGCAGTATAAACCACAGGTTGGCTCTGTAGGTGTTGAACACACACAAATGTGCCTGCATCTGCAATAGGATTTGTATACATAAATATACATTAAAAATCTTTATGTTTACAAATACACGATATGAGTTGAACGGATGTCATCATTCGTTTGAAAAAAAGACACCCCGACCCTACCTTGACTTAACATCTTCTCTAAAGTAACTAATATCTTGATACAATAGTTGTCAGTGAAAAATGAACACCCTACCGCCCCTTATTAAAATGATTAGTTTTCTCCAAATCCATAGAAATTAATATTACGAATGTTTATGCTTATAAAGCTCCGTAAATTTCAAAATTAATTATTCCAAAATTCACTTGAGGATGA